GCAACACATCAATTATTATGTCGACCTTCCATATTCATAGCATATCCTAACCACATTTGTTTTTTAATGTTATTGTAGGAATTGGATTTTACACCTTAAACCAAGGCTCATATCAATCGAAGGGGTTGAAATCCAGTGACAACTTGCATATGGAGCCCCAATGTCACACGAGATATGTACTGCTATCTTTCGGAGGCTTGCCCAACTGGATCAGTCTTGCTCTAAGGACACGCCTGGCAACATCTGGAGGAAGTACATAGAGCCTGACTTTGCTGTGAGACACCCACATCACCCTTGTCCACTCGAATAGAACTGTATATTCACCGCTCCATACATGCATACCCCATTTTACTAGAGCTGACACATTTCTATCATGTTCGCAGACAACTGTTTTGTCCAACGCCGATCCATTGACCGTTCAATCTATCCGCACTGGGTTTCAGGAAGGAACATGTGTTTGCAACCCAGCTTCATGCCGAATGGTACGACACTTATGAAATCACTTTTATATGGCAATTTGTCAACACTAAACATATATAACACATTCTTCTTCATGCAATGGTTCATCCCAGCAATTCTTCCAGACGGATGGGCTGTATATCTTTTTGATATGATGCGGAAATGAATCATTGTGTTAGACCCAGCAGTTGGCCCATTTGGGTATAGCAATCAGCGGGTCAGCATGCACGAGTTTGTAAGCAACAAACTGCATGCTGCCCTGTTCAATTGTCTACATAGTTTCTTCAGTTCTTGGCACTGTGATTCCACTAACTAGGGACGCACATTCCGGATCATAATGCGGGAAAAAAATCGAGAGGTATGTTTCCCTTTCCATTGTAGTCACTCTTATTTTTCAGCTTTGCTCCCGTTTGCACACTTATTTTGATTGCCCGCCCAAATTATATTTTTCTACAGAGATGAAATTGGCTTGGGTGCTACTTTCTTTGCTAGGAATTATGACGGTGACAGGCTACAAATCCCGCTGACAAAAGTAATTACTTTGAAATGTTAAACTTTTCTTCGTTTCTTTTTTTTCACTAGATTTTTTTGGTTCTTTCTTTTCTTCGGATTAATTTTCTCCTTTTCATTTTCTTTTGTTTTCTCTTGCATTTTCATTGTTTTCTATAAACATTTTAATGTATATATCTAATGCACTTTTCTAATAAACTTTAAATATTTGTCAAGTACAAAATTAACATTGATTCAATAGATGGTTAACATTCTTTAACAGACATTTACCATGCTTGATTAAAATTTTGAAATACTAGATTAACAATTTTTAATACATGGGCAACATTTTTTCTATACACATTTTACATTTTTTTTTTCAAATCCTTAATTCAATTTTTTTGAAATACAAGTTTAACATTTTTCAATACATGGTCAACATTTTTTGTATACACACTTAACATTTAACAATGTTTGCTTAACATTTTTCAAATAATATATTAATACTTTTTAATTGAAATATGTAAGTGGCAACCGTGTGGCAGATTGCGAAACTGCCACACGCATCGCCCTCCCGATCTCCTTCCTTTCCCTCACGTCCTCGTGATCTCCTACTTCCTTCCCCGCACGCCTCCCGATCTCTTTCCTTTCCCGCCCTCCTGATTTCCTTCCTTTTAATTACCAGTTACAGCCCCACGTGCCTTCCAGATTTTTGGGCAAAAATAATGCTTGAATTGGGATTTAATCTCTGGTCTGCAGGTAATCAAGAAGGGAGCTAACCATCTCGCCTATGACACTCATTGTTGAACAAGCTAAGAAAATATTGTTTTTGACATGTTTTGCTTTCAATATTTTAGCACTGAAAAGCTTTTGTTTCACCTATCAAACCTGGCACATAAACTTTTTTCGTGGTAAATTCTCCATCACCATCACGATAAATGACGCACCATCAACATTATAACTTTTGTATACCACGCGGTACATTATGTGTAAGTAGCATGGTCATAAGCATTGAAGGTGTGATAACTTTGATGAAAGCATCATGGTAACTTTGATCACTGGGAAGAAATTTGTTGAACCCCGACCCCCGGTAATTTCTGTAAATAGCACGATAACTTTCACGCCATAGACCTGATAATTTAGATACAAACATCGTGGTAACTTTAACCATTGGGGGAGAAAAATGTGGAAAGATACCAGATAATTTATGTGTAAATATATGGTAATATACGCAGCGCACATCTGATAACTGAGATAGAAACACCATGGTAACTTTGACCATAGGGAAGATTTTTTTAAGATACTCCGGTATCTTCTGTGTAAATAGTACGGTACTATACCTCACTCCTCTGGTATTTTCATGTGTAAATAGCATGAAAACCTATGCACCGCGATAACTAAACATCATGATAAGTTTTTGACCCGTGGTGGGGGGGGGGGATTGTGCTGAAACATACCCCTGTTAAATTTTGTGTAAATCGCATGATATTTTAAGCACTGCGGCTTGATAGGTTACCTAGAATCACCATGATAACCTTTTGTCCCGGGGAAAAGTTGTTCAAAACATCCCGATAATTTTTGTGTGAATAACATAATAATATAAGCACCGCATAACTGATAACTTACAATATAAACATGATGGTAACTTTTTACCAAAGGAAAAAAAGTTGTTAAAAACATAAACTCACCTCGCGGAGCCTCTTAGATGAACACAACACATGATGTGCCATAGAAAAGCCACATAACATTTAGTGTCATGAGAAGGCACACATGCTCATGGGTTGGCCCAGAAAAACGGCCCACTTTGACCCGCTATAGGCGTGATAAGTTACGCAAAAATATCGTGGTAATTTTTGACCTATGAAAAAAGTTACCGAAACACACCCAGGTCTTTAGGTGTAAGTACCATGATAATATATGAACTATAGACCCGGTAACTCATGTACAATCCCCATGGTAACTTTGACCAGGGACAAGATTGATGTACACATACCCTGATAACTTATGTGTAAGTACCACGGTATTTTACATATC